GCGCGTCCATGAGATTCCAGCCTGACCTTATCGCGTTGGATGTCATTTCCAACATCTCGCGATAGCAGCGCAGACCGGCAGCTCCGGGTTTTCAGTTGACGTGACGTTGGACGCGCCGCTGCAGGATCCATGTTTCATTGAGATGTGATGGGATTACAGCTCAGATTATTACTGCAGATTATTATCATCACGTCACTCGACGACAGGAAGCTAAGGGATCCATTGCAGCCCAAAAAGATAAAAACGTTTCCAACTTTTGAGAACTTTATCTAGCAGCGGTTCAGTTCTTCTTTTGTTTCGCTCTTAAACTATCATCAATCTTTAGTTTGGCGAAGAATTATGATTATTATTGACACAAATTAATATATTATACCCAGCACTTATGTGACTGTAAACTAATTAAACCAAAAATATCTCAATCATTTGATCTGAGTCAAAAAACATTGTTTTTTACAACAAGCAGGTGAATATAAATAATAAAACAACTTTTAAATCAGCTGCTGTTATCAGCTGTGATATGATTTATTGTCTTGTTGATTTATATATTAAATACTGAAGCTGAAACTAATAAAGACTTCTCACTGCATCTGTAGGAAACGTGACTGCAGTTGCAGCTCAGATTTCTATGATCATTTATGAACTTTTCATTTTCTGTGGCTCCAGTTTAGAGACATTTTGCCCTCAGAGTTGCTGAGCTTGTTGCCAACATGGTTAAAGTTGCTCCGCCTCTGAAATAAGCTAATATATTTTCACACTATTTCTAACCTAGATATTAAAAGATGTTCATATTTCGGCTCTCAGGCTCTGCAGGTGAAAACCTTTGTTTGATGCTGGTGGTTATAAATGTATCATTTATAATTATTGTTTTAAATTAGGCCTGAAAGATTCATCAGGAAAATCAGTTGTTGAAAAAATTGCCAACTAATTTCTGAGTCGATGGTTAAATTTCATTATTCAGACTCTAAAAAAAGACAATTTGCTGAAATGTTCAGAATGGATGATCATAATAATCTCTGTTTGCAGCTCAGATGTATTCAGGTTGTGTAAACTCGGCGTTTCTGTGCTAGCGATGCTAACCGTCTGCGCTTCCTGTCTCAGGGTCGGATCATGTCAGAATGAGCGGGCCTTCCAAAGGCCCTGACAGGAAGTCCAGCTGCCCTTTGACCCCGGCCCGCCATGTCGGCGGCTGCCGCCTCCTCCCTCAAACGCACGTCTGTCTACGGCTACATCCAGTCGGACCACTCTTCCTCCTCCTCCTCTTCCTCATACAGCCCCCTGCGGAGGCTGCAGCACCTCACCAAGATGGTGAGCCGGCCCGACCTGGTGCTGCCGAGCCGGGGCCCGAGCGGCGCTGGGACTGGGGGTCCGACCAGAGGGGCAGGATGAAGGACTACTGGGCGGAGTACAGAGAGTGTTCTGTCTCCCAGGAAGACGTCTCGTCTTCTTCTGGCCAAAAGCAAACGGAGCTGCAAAGTGAAAGTAAAGACTTTCCTGCTGTTTGTTGCCACCAATCTGCTGTTTCTGAGAAAATGGGAGGCAAACTGTCCGTCCAGCCCGCCGAGCCCGGCCTTCTCTCTGGACAGCAGCCCCTTCGCCAACGGCCTGCTGCACTTCGACTCGGCTCTGTTTGAGGCCGACGGCGTCAACGAGGAGCCACAGACCAACGCGCCCGGCCCGGGTTTCCTGGACAAACGCGACCAGCCGCAGACCGCGCCGCAGACCGCGCCGCAGACCGCGCCGCAGACCGCGCCGCAGACCGCGCCGCAGACCGCGCCGCAGCTCGCCCCCACAGACACTCGTCTGGACACAGAGACGGCGGCGGCGGCGCCCAAGGTGGTGACGCGCTCCCAGTCCTCGGGTCAGCGCCGGCGGTACTGGGACTGCTCAGAGGACGAGTGGGACAGCGACTCGGAGCTCTTCCTGTTCGATGACTGTCCTGCATGGCGGACAGCGGTAGGCAATCAATCAATATCTATTGCCATAGAGACGGGATCAATATGGATAGATAATTCGTCTGATAGAATAATCAATATTTTGAAAATTCACTGAACTCTGATCCAGAACCGCGCCGTATTCTGGACAGACTCGACCCGGTCCGACTCTCAGCCTGTTGCAACAGTCCTCATAGATAATTAAAAGTTAAAAATGTGAAGTGAAAGTTGAAAACAGCAAACAAAACCAAATAATGATCAACGTTAGCTGACATGAAATATTGTGTGTCGTCCAACTGAAGTTAAGCATAAAAACAAAAAACCAACATTTATATTTATATTGATTAATGTGCATCTCCAAATCAACTTTAAAAACTGAAAACAATTTAAAGGACAGTGAACAACACAGTCAGATCAGACGGAGTGAGTTTTTACAGTGTAGTTCAGAGCAGATCGACCCAAACAGCTGAAGGATTTACTGTTAAATGAACTAATGTAGATTTTGCTGCAGTTTGTTTTGTGAAATTGTTTATTAATCAATGGAAAACAGAGTGACAGAGGTCAAAGGTCAGAAACTTCTTGCTTTATCTGCATGCTTGTGCAATAAGTTTTCTAGAGAAATCAGTGTCGGTCTCCCGCAGCAGCCGAGCGGCTCCAGGAAAAAGCCGCCGCCTCCGCTGAAGTTCGCCGAGGGGCAAATCGTTTGGGCCAAGTTCGGCCGCCGGCCCTGGTGGCCGTGTGAGGTGCTGGCCGACCCGGCGCTGGGCGTCTACCACAGGATGAAAGGTAGAACCACAAACTGCTTTTATTGAGCCAGACCCGGATTCATGAGCCAGTTAACCATTAATCAATCACTAAATTAGTTACAGTTATTCCCGTAATAATTAAAACGATCAATCGTTACTAATCGATGTTCAGCTTGCTTTCAGTTTGACTTTGACCGTGCTTTGTGACTGCTTCCTGAATTTGTTTGTTTTTCTCCTCAACACATTTCCTTCAACTGCTGATTATTTCCATCAAAATGTCAGATTGTGACTCAACTGGAAAATAATGATTTTTTATGAAGATTTTGTTTGAAATTGCAACACATTTTCAGAGATCAGTCTTTATACCTTTGCTTTTTTCTTGTACTTTGCCAAACGATTTTGAGCCAATGATACGGTTTAGCATTTTCAACCACCTTTTTAGATGTTTTATCCATATTTCAGCATATTGTTGAGTCATTCTGTACTTTCTGGGTATTAATGTTGTAATTTCCTCTTTCTAAAAATAATCGGGAGGGCTCTGGTTTTTTTGCAGAGCCCTGCGACCGGCTCTGTCGGCTGTATCACGTCCGGACCTTTGGGGAGCCGAAGGAGTTCATTTGGGTGGAGGAAAAATCAACTCAGTCGTTCCACGGAGGCTTTGAGTTCGACCAACTTGTCCTTTTGAGACGAAGAAGCAAGCAAAGAGAGCAGAACAACAGAAACACTGTAAGTGTTCAATTGTGAATTATTGCATGATGTTCTGATGAACGGTTGGTCCTTCGCTTCCTTGTTGGACAGAAGCTCTAAATCTAAGACACTAACAGAAATCTGTGACTACCAAACGCATCATGAAAAGATAACAGTCTGTTGTTTTGGTTCAATACATTTTCTGGTCTCGCTGCAGATCCCTAAGCGTTTCCAGGATTCGTGGAGATGCAGTGTGGCCGAGGCCGAATCCGTTCTCTCTGGGCGACCCGACGTTTCTCCGCCTCTGGCTCCATCCACAGATCAAACCTTTGCCTGCAGTTCCCCGGCAGAAGGACAGAAGAAGCCCCATCCGGCCGTTCCCTCGCCCTCTCTGCCGGTTCCCACTGTTTCTGAACTGTTGCACTTAACGAATGGATCCACCTCGTCTGCAGCTACAACACAGACAAAACCGAGCACTTTAAAAAAAACTTGTAGCAAGAAGAAGGAAAGCAAATCCCTCCAGGACCTTGGGAATGAAAACACACTGTGTTGCAGTCTTGATCCGTCTCACAGAGACAACAGCGAGTGCCCGTACTCTGATCTCGACTCAGTCCCGAAGATTTTGTGTCCTAAAGCACTTCAGCATCAGCCGAAGCGACTTCCATGCCAGCCGTCTGCGGCTGCAGTCAAAGAGCTCAAGAAGCAGCCAGACACCCAGACTGGACTGTGGTTCAGTAAATCAGGCAGAGACCGGCGACCTAAAACTACCAGCCCAGTGTCGGACCGCTCCCTCTTTAGTAAGGGTCCCTGCAAGAAAAAGCACTTATCCACTGTTAGGAAGAAGGCCCCGGTTCCTCCACCTCATTGGTTGGCGCTGGGTCCAATGACCCAGTTATACTGGCAGATAAGTCAACAGATGATGGTCCGATACATGAACAGTCAGTACCTGAGAAATGTAGGGCCAGTGAGGCCAACCCTGTTGAAGGAAGAGGCAGGTCTTTGGACAAACCAAAGGCCCAGCTGTCCACTGAAGACCAGCAGACTTCTGAGACCAAAATAAACCCTTCGAGCATTTCGTCTGACGACCTGGATGTTGAAAAAGACTTTCATTCCTGCAAGACAGTCGATTTTAATGACGACTCAGATTCTCCAAAGATGGTAACATCTATAAGTTCAACTGAACTTTCTGTCATAATTGCTACTAAACAACTTGATAAAACTGAAAAACCTTCTGAAAGGAGAAAGAAAGAAAGCAGACTCTGAGGCCCTGTTTAGAAGTCGAAAAAAGAGACCCAGACTCGATATTAGAAAAGCAAAAAAATCTGGTCTCTAAATGCAGACTCCCGTTTGTGAAGCTGATACGAAAGGAGATAGAACAAAACAAATATTTACGCTCATGTCTGATAAATGTCACCACTAACAGAAGTGAATGCAATAAGAAAGAGAAAATACCAGATAGTAATGTGAATAAAGCAGCAGCTGATGAATCAGAATTGACAGGCAGCAAAACGAGCGTCTCCACTGAACAAATTACACCTTCAAAGTTCATCCAGGTCTCAGTCAAGAAGCTACGAGCGAGAAGTGAGTCTGGCCTACTTCGGCTGTCATCAGAGTCACCGCCTGAACACAACACAAAGACACCCGGAAACAACACCAAGACACTTGGTAACAACGCTGAGACACCTGGAAACAGCACTCCCATACCTGGAAACAACACTAAGGCACCTGGAAACAGCGCTCCCATACCTGGAAACAACACCAAGACACCTGGAAACAACACCAAGACACCTGGAAACAATGTTCCCATACCTGGAAACAACACTAAGGCACCTGGAAACAACGCTCTCACACCTGGAAACAACGCTCTCACACCTGGAAACAACGCTAAGACACCTGGAAACAACGTTCCCATACCTGGAAACAACACCAAGACACTGGAAACAAACACCAAGACACCTGGAAACAATGTTCCCATACCTGGAAACAACACTAAGGCACCTGGAAACAACGCTCTCACAGCTGGAAACAACGCTCTCACACCTGGAAACAACGCTCTCACACCTGGAAACAACGCTCTCACACCTGGAAACAACGCTCTCACACCTGGAAACAACGCTCTCACACCTGGAAACAACGCTAAGACACTGGAAACAGCGCTCCCATACCTGGAAACAACACCAAGACACCTGGAAACAACGTTCCCATACCTGGAAACAACACTAAGGCACCTGGAAACAGCGCTCCCATACCTGGAAACAACACCAAGACACCTGGAAACAACACCAAGACACCTGGAAACAATGTTCCCATACCTGGAAACAACACTAAGGCACCTGGAAACAACGCTCTCACACCTGGAAACAACGCTCTCACACCTGGAAACAACGCTCTCACACCTGGAAACAACGCTAAGACACCTGGAAACAACGTTCCCATACCTGGAAACAACACCAAGACACCTGGAAACAGCGCTCCCATACCTGGAAACAACACCAAGACACCTGGAAACAACACCAAGACACCTGGAAACAATGTTCCCATACCTGGAAACAACACTAAGGCACCTGGAAACAACGCTCTCACAGCTGGAAACAACGCTCTCACACCTGGAAACAACGCTAAGACACCTGGAAACAACGCTCTCACACCTGGAAACAATGCTCTCACACCTGGAAACAACGCTCTCACACCTGGAAACAACGCTCTCACACCTGGAAACAACGCTCTCACACCTGGAAACAACACTAAGACACCTGGAAACAACGTTCCCATACCTGGAAACAACACTAAGGCACCTGGAAACAGCGCTCCCATACCTGGAAACAACACCAAGACACCTGGAAACAGCGCTCCCATACCTGGAAACAACACCAAGACACCTGGAAACAACACCAAGACACCTGGAAACAATGTTCCCATACCTGGAAACAACACTAAGGCACCTGGAAACAACGCTCTCACACCTGGAAACAACGCTCTCACACCTGGAAACAATGCTCTCACACCTGGAAACAACGCTCTCACACCTGGAAACAACGCTCTCACACCTGGAAACAACGCTCTCACACCTGGAAACAACGTTCCCATACCTGGAAACAACACTAAGACACCTGGAAACAACGCTAAGACACCTGGAAACAACACTAAGACACCTGGAAACAACGCTCTCACACCTGGAAACAACGCTCTCACACCTGGAAACAACGCTAAGACACCTGGAAACAACACTAAGACACCTGGAAACAACACTCTCACACCTGGAAACAACGCTCTCACACCTGGAAACAACACTAAGGCACCTGGAAACAACACTAAGACACCTGGAAACAATGCTCTCACACCTGGAAACAACGTTCCCATACCTGGAAACAATGCTCTCACACCTGGAAACAACACTAAGACACCTGGAAACAGCGTTCCCATACCTGGAAACAACACTAAGGCACCTGGAAACAACACTAAGACACCTGGAAACAACGCTCTCACACCTGGAAACAACGCTCTCACACCTGGAAACAACACTAAGACACCTGAAAACAACACTCTCACACCTGGAAACAATGCTCTCACACCTGGAAACAACGTTCCCATACCTGGAAACAACACTAAGGCACCTGGAAACAACACTAAGACACCTGGAAACAACGCTCTCACACCTGGAAACAACGCTCTCACACCTGGAAACAACACTAAGACACCTGAAAACAACACTCTCACACCTGGAAACAACGCTCTCACACCTGGAAACAACGCTCTCACACCTGGAAACAACGCTCTCACACCTGGAAACAACGCTCTCACACCTGGAAACAATGCTCTCACACCTGGAAACAACGCTCTCACACCTGAAAACAACACTAAGACACCTGGAAACAGCGTTCCCATACCTGGAAACAACACTAAGACACCTGGAAACAGCGTTCCCATACCTGGAAACAACACTAAGACACCTGGAAACAACACTAAGACACCTGGAAACAATGCTCTCACACCTGGAAACAACACTAAGACACCTGGAAACAATGCTCTCACACCTGGAAACAACACTAAGACACCTGGAAACAACGCTCTCACACCTGGAAACAACGCTCTCACTTCAACAAAACTTTCTGATGCCTTGGGCAGCCCAGAAGTGAAATGTATCCCAGCCTCTAACATTAGTCTAGAAAGTATCATCACCGTATCGTGCAATGAATCAAACAGATTAGAATGTAAAGACATTTCTGTTTGCAATCAAACAAAGACATTGTCTGACCAGCCAGGTAGCTCAGAGGAAAACAGTTCATCTACTAAAACTGCAGCTTCTTCAACAGGAAGTAATCACCTCCCTGAAAGTTGGCCTGCTCCAAAATCCAGAAAAGCTGTTCACAAACTGAAGCAGGCTACAGAAATTCAAAAAGTCCTGAAAGAACAGCCAGTCCATCTTCCAGCCAGCAGTCGGCTGATGACCAGGGCGCTGAAGGCCTTGCAGGTCGTCGACTGGAGGAAACGTAGAAAAGCCCAGCAGGCGATTGAGCAAACTAAGCTGAGCAAACTTCTGGACACAGTTCAGAATTCTGCTGAGCCCAAATTTGATATTTGCACTAATTTAAAAACTTCTAAAATCTACTGACATTGACAACGGTGATTGCTTTTCTAGATGTAGCTCCCCTTCTGTACTGTTCTCTGATTCAGATGATTTGAAGCTGATGTTAAAAGTGAAGATGAAGACCTTTCAGTTTCTTCAACTCCGCCAATGGACTTCATACCCCTTACATCTATAGTTAAGGCAAAGCACGGAGATCTGCCCCCAACAACACAACCTCCATCACCTCAATCACCGTTTTCCTTCATGAAAGCCTTCAAGAATGTTACGGAGGTTTCCTTTCAATCCTTACCAAATAGCAGCAATGGAAAGCCAGTGTCTTTCAGGCCAGACTCAAAATACCAGTTTAGCACTTTTCTTATGATGCTGAAGGACTTGCATGACACTAGAGAGCGAGAAGGCACGCCCCTTGAGTTAGAGATTGGGCCACCCAGTGCACATGTGAAGGAGGAGCCGCTGATGATGCCACACAAGGCTCCTCTAGAAGGACACGGCCTCACATGTGTCCTTAGCAAAACCGATCCAATCGCAGAAAAATGTGTGATTGGACAGAACGGATGTGGCAAAGGCCAGAAACTCAAGAGGCCCTTTAGCAGAAAGAGTGGCAGAAAGAGTTGTTGAAAGGGAAAACCAATCGCAGAGTGCCTGGACCTGGTTTTCCTGGAGTAACATCAGCAACAGGAATCACTTCCTGGCCAACAGCAAATATCACTTCAAAAATAACGGATATACAAATTGGCAGTAGCTGGATCCAGGCTGGCTGCAGCAGAGACATTGGTGGGCAAGAGGAGCAGCAGAGATGGGAAAGGCTGAAAGGCAGCCAGCAGGTTGGTGTTCCTCTGGAAAGGAGGGAACGTCCAACACTCATCCTGGAACAGCCAAGCGGCCTCGGAGACGACATGATGAACAAGACGGACTTGATTCTAGAAGCTGAGGAACAAGACAAGACTTCATCCGGTAAGGACAGTCTGACGCAACATCTTTACAAAAATAACAACAATGGAAAGTTGGCTTTTTCTGTAGCACAATCCATTTGTGAAATGCGATAAACCGAACATGAAAACTGATGTCTTCCTGCCATTAGAGCTCAGGTAAAACTCCTGTAATGTAGATGAAGTGGAATATCTGTGCATTTGCTACAGATCAGGCTAAAGTCAGAGTGAACATTCAAAACTATTCCAGACTTTGGATGAATTGCTTTTCCAAGACTTATTGCAACAACCAATGTTTTTCTGTCTGTGAGGCGACATTCACTCTGCAGACTGAAGTCTGCAAAAAAAAATCACTTTTTTTTTGCTTTAATGTGACCTGCGTCTGATGTTTTCACGACTGTCTGAACAACACAGAGGCGACCCAGGCTATATGTGGTTCTAACTCCGATCCGTATCGGATCTTTTGAAATGTGGCCTGTGTCTGCACAGGCAGGTCGCATTCATACAGCCAGTTTGGTTAGCCTCAGGTTTCTGTTCTTGGCTAATCAGAGTGGCGTCTGGTTGGTCTTCTGCTGCTGCTGTAGCCCGTTTCTTTCAAAGTTTGACTGGCTGTCCATTCAGAGATGGCATTACCAGTAGATCATCAGTTTCTGGAGCAGTAAGACCAGCCAGTAAGGCCAGCCAACACATCCTGAATGTCCTTTCTAAAGCTCGGGTTGATTTCAGCAAGTCATCTTCACCAGATCTAAACTCATCAAGTTGTTTCTGTGTGATTCACTCATTTACAAGCTAGTTTCTTAATAAAGTGTCTACAGAGTGTTTGATGATTTCCTTCCTTTTTTAATTCCAGAACATAAACGAATACGAAAGCCCAGCAAGAGACTACTTGAATGGACTGAAGAATACAACCAGATTTTCTCCCCAAGGAAGAAACCCAAAAGGTCTCTCCAGCTGTTTGGAAAGGTAAAAATGAGGCAAAGTGATGATCTCTGCTCTGCCTCTACAATCAAACACTCACTTTAGTTTGTCTGCCATCAGGCAGTTGGGTTCCAGGAATCAAACATTGTTCTCACAATCAGAACTGGGTGATGGGAAAAAATCTGATATCTCAATATTTTTGCCACATACACAGTATATATATCAGAATATTTTTAAATAATCTCCACTGTTATCTTAATATATATAGCATATAAAATGCTATATATCATTTATGAAATTACAATATTGCCTCTTTCTGGTGTCAACACTAAACCTTTCATAACCAAGAGCATATCGGCAAAAAAAAAAAAAAAAGTTAAGATTAAAGAAACAAAAGTTAAAGTTATTCTAAACTTGGCAGGCCATTAAACTATTTGCACATGTTGCCAATTTTGAGCATCAAACCACAAAAAGCACAATAATGGTCAACGCTGCCAAATTCAGGCAATGTCTGCAAATCCCATTCAGACTTATTTAATCACAGCATACAGAGCATCTCAGACATTTAAATAACAATATTAAGCACATCACATAAAATGGTCAAAGAAAAAATAGGAAATAATCCTAAACTAATAAAGAAGCTGAAGTCCAAATGGTGACATTAATACCCCTGAATATTATCAACATCATTAGATGGTGA